GGCTCAAGTTCGCCGACTCAATAGACCTCCCATTTTAAGGGTAAGACTGGGTAAATGGCTAGGGATGTGGGGTGTAAGATGGAATTCACTCCTACCCACTTTTAGGGATAGAAGAGAGGATAGTTCCCTTAAGTACTGACTCTAGGTCTTGAACAAGGGGCCCCATTCTCTCATTGGCCGGAGAGGGATTCGGTTTACTAGTTGAACCACAAACCAATTGTTCATTAGAGAATCAGTGAGACATAAGGAACAAGAAGTAACTTTAGGGGTAAAACGGTAAATTGACCCAACTCTAGTTACGAACAACCTGTGAAGGATCGACTTACTAATCATGGTTATATCAAATGGACAAAAATATATCTATTGTGAGGGGAGTGCAACTACTAGGCTATAGTGGAATGTTCTAGTAGTTAACGAATGTTGGTTAGCAAGGTTAATGAGTTTAACCGGTTAATCTTGGATCGTTGGAACCCATGATCTATAGGTCCATTAGATCCCTCTGCTAGCTCATATCGAACTAAACCATAGAACAATGTGACGAGTGAGTTCGAAGTGTTCGAATTCAAATTAGGGAGAATGCGCTACATATATACCATATATTTAACCGCATTTTTGTTTTATTTACGAATTAAACAAAAAGAGAGAATATGAGATATTTAAATAAGATCTAAATATCTTAATCAAATATGTGTCGGAATTAATTGGGATTGACATTTGAATTAATATTAAATATTAATTAAATAGTTTAATTAATCGTTTAATATTACTTTAATTTGAAATTAATAATTCAAATTAATTGTTGAATCAAAATGAAGAAAGTCAAAATGTTGATTTCATTTAATGGAAAAATCCATGTTAGTGGAATTTTGAGGTGTCAAAATTTGGTTTAACCAAACTTGCATGCTTGCCAAATAAACCCCACAAATTTGAGTGGAATTTTGAGTGTCAAAATTTGGTTAACTCACTCAAACATGCATGTTTGCCACATAATCCCAAACATTTGAGTGGAATTTTGAGTGTCAAAATTTGGTGATTTCAAATTTGCATGAACGTACAAACATGACTCTATAAATAGAGTAATCATGGTACATGGAAGGTTGACTTTTGGAAAAAAACTTGAGAAAAACCTCTCACAAACTCTCCCAAGTTTAGTCACTCACCGGATTCCACAATCCTGTTCTAAGGCCGGAGAATAGAGGAGAAAACATTAGTGGTGGTCCGAAACCGGTTCGTGAGGAAAAAGAAACTTGAGCGACAAAAGGTTAGTATTCAAACTCATAGAGTTTTAATGCTTTTGAACATGCTAGCTAATTCACTATAATTGATGTACTTAGAGTGCCTAAGATCCAAATTGCTTCTGCATGTGTTATATTAACACCATCAATAACATATACATAACATATAAGAAGCATATCGATTCACAGACAATTCTCACATATCAATATATATGACACGTGCAGAACCACAAGGCATGTGTCAACATCAAATATAATCATGCCGATAGTAAGGTTACTTACCTGGTTAGCTTAGGTTGATGTTCCGTCATTATCCTTAATGAAAGTCCATTGAACTCCAAGTCAACCTATGTGAGCCTATGACAACAGTTTCAAATTTGAATTTCTACAAAATTGTTTCTCTAATTTATGTTGATCCATTTGTTATACTACATGCGAACCCTAGAGTCTTTGTCTGAGTTAGATCTTGAAATATTTATATATGTTTGTTATAATATTATTTTCATACAAACCATTTAATACCCATTAAAATATTCAGATATTCTATTTTCTATTACTGTGTTTAATACCCTTTAACATTTTCGAGATAATTTCAATTATATTCACAATCTTCCCTCCTTGTTTCTCTTATTGTGTTTCCTTTTTTTAATTTGAAGATGACTTTTAATATAATTAAATAAAATAAAAGAAAAACTACTGACATCTCCAAATGCAATATCTCTTCCTAATTTGATGTAATTTGATGTAAGGCATTTTTGTTTTCTTAAATCTGACATTTTTCATTTTGTTTCATTCTGCAGTAAGTGTGAGGTGTGTTAAGGAGAGATTATTGTGGAAGTGACTACGATTGGTGGAGAGAAAGCTGGGAATAATTGTTTTTATTTACTTATTTATTAATTTATTATTGTTATTATTATTATTATTATATAATAATAATAATAATAATAATAATAATTTTTGTTTATAATAATTTTTATTTGTTTATTTATTTATTATTTTCTTGCCCATTACAGGTATAGTAAATCATGCATTCAGTCACACTAGCTCAACGATGCGATATCATCTATCAAGCACCCAAAGTGCAGATACACAAATTTCCATCCTTCGTTTAAGCACGATTAGGTATAAACATTTGAAAAACGGTCCATTACGTCATGCAAAGATTAATCAAGTTATGCTACTAAGAAGAGTGACTAATCTCATACTTATCCAATCGTGTTGGGCTCGGGTCATACCAAATCTATCTACGTAGAGTTTGGTTTTACTAGCATGCATACAGATCCAAATGATCCCTACAAGTATTACTCCCTAAAATCCATGTGGTTACTTTCATGATTGTCATGTACCTTATTGAGCTAGCTTTTCCTCGTATTAGGTCCTCTAAAATTTATGAAATTTCTCAGATATGTCTTGATTGATGTAAAATTAGAGTTAGCTTTTGAACGAGTGAAACCTGATAAATGAAGGTCGAATGGAGCAAAATAGAATCAATCACACGCTCACGCGCCTAGTCATGCGGGTGGAGGGTTCCCCATTCGCGAGTACGTCACACGCCTAAGGAGGGATACGTGCGTTGTGCTGGTACCTCGTGGCAATCAACGATTGGCTCTTCTAGTTCCAAGACCTTTGTTCAAACCTAGAGGCACGTGGTTTTCCTTCCAATAATGTCGTCATGACATGGCGTGATTAGACGGGTCACGAGTCATGGGTTGGTCGGTTGCGAATCTTGGATCGGGTCACTTGCGAGTCCCCGCTTTCCAACCAGACGCAGGCACACCTTATGCAGTAGCCTAGCCACTCTTCCTCCCCCATTAGTCAACATATTTCATCGTCGATGCCCAACACATGTCCTCTTCCGACAATTGCACACATCTCTCTTCTTTGGTATAAATCAACTCTGACTTCCTTCGCAAAACTTACTTGAAATTCCTCTTAAAACAACGTACTAAGAAATCAAAATCTAATTCTAAAGAAAATTTTAGAACTAGAGAGAGTCGAAACAAAGAACCTGAAATTCATACCTATTGTTCTTCTTCGATTCTTGATGAAATTGAGTGATTCAAAAGCTCAAAATGGATATCCTCAATCTTGGTTAACTTCAGAGACGAGGCCTTTTGCTCGACAGATCCACACGCTAGAAAATGGTGAACCTCCACCTCTTAATCTATAGTGGGTCTGAGAGCAGCTAGAGAATTGTTGGAACTTTGAGGCACCCAGAGCCTCAGATAGTAGTAGAGACAAGGCGGGGACTTCCTATAGCCTAGAGTTAAGCTCGTAGATACCTACGAGGTTAAGTATGCGATAAGAGCTCACAAGTAAGTTCCTTATTGAGTATTTTTGTACTCATTTCTTTCTTAGGTGCTTGTAGACTATTGGTCGAGGTGGGGAGCGTTCGAAAGCTACGCGGTTACAAATGAGGACATTTCAAAGCCTCAGTCTATTTTCATATTTTGAGTAATTTGAATTTCATTTTGTAAATATATCTCAAACGTAATTGAACAACACTATCTTGTAATTGGATTTTATTTTGAATGTAATCATAGTATTGTATGTCTTTATTTGATTTAAATTTTATCAGATTTTTACCTTTTATTTTTATTTATTTTTGGTTTTTTTGAAATCAAAAAAATGGGTCCCGACACAATTTCACATATCAAACATCACAACATCACAAAATATGACGTGTACAAGTGTCACAAGATACGTGTCATTATACACCATAGAAGTCGTTCAAATAAGCCTCTAAGTATCCAATATAGAACCACTTGTTGGCATGAGCTGAAAGCACTATGCTTCTTTGATACTAGCTTAGAGTTCTATTATAGAAATTGGCTCACGTGATTGCATAAAATAGTCTAATCTTAAATGCCTCTGAAAGTGTCAAAAACAGTTCTGAAAGTATTTGACCCCGAGTCGAATCAGGCAAGAGGCTAGGCTGGAGCCGTCAAAACATGGATTCTCCGACTCTAATCGCTAAAGTGAGATGAAACAAAACACTAGCGGTGTTATTCTCTCTTGCTCGCTCACATCCATGTGCAATATTGACAGTGGAGACCACTGGGCCAATGATGCATGGCAATTACCACTCCACGAATTCCCACATAGAACACCGACAAAAAAAAAAAAACGACAGTGAGGCAACTTTAGATCTAAGGCTAACTAAATGAGATTGAAGTCCTACTCAAAATGAAAAATTAAAGGAGATTGACCTTACCAAGTCGAGTCATAGTGGTCGAATGATGAGAAAATAGTGACGAGGGGCGGAGAAATCAAATGACACGAGCGTAGGACATAGCGAGTGGAGAGATCCACGAAGGAGATGAGCTAAGAAGATATTCAGTCGATACAATGAAGTTGATATAGAGACGAATAATTGAGCTGAAACATGAACGGATGCCAACCATAAAGTTGGTGACGTGAGTGCGCCTATTGATGATGCAAGCGAAGTTGAGGCCAAAAGTGCTATGAAGATGAAAGCAATGAAGGCTCTCTCTCAAACTATACGTGTCGTTTGACTTTTATAGTCGACGTGTGTATATATACACACGAAGTTTATACATCAGTTTAATTATGTAAGCTAATAAACTTAGAATGGATTGTAGTTCTCAAATTGTGGACCAAATTTAATGATTTAATTAGGAAGATGGTTGGTCTTTCCCCTCAAAACTTTAAATGATGTTTCGTTCCTCCCCAACCAATGTGGGATATCACAATTCACTCCCTTCAAGATCCAGTGTCCTTACTGGCACACCGCCTCGTGTCCACCCCCCTCGGGGAACAACCTCCCCTCAAGTTGTTTTGTAACATAAGGCTTTCCCTTTCGGGCTTCCCCTCACGACTTTAAAATGCGTCTTTCAGAGTTACACAGCGGAACCGGTGCTCATACCTTATGAGCTTTCTCTCAAGGCTTTTGGGCTTTCCCTTATGGGCTTCCCCATTATGGGTCTGGTAGGGAAAGATTTCCACGTCCTTATAAATGGTGTTTCGTTCTCCTCCCCCACCAACGTGGGTTTCCACACCCTTATAAATGGTGTTTCGTTTCCTCCTCAACCAACTTAGGTTTCCACACGCTTATAAATGGTGTTTCGTTCTCCTCCCCAACCCATGTGGAATATTACATGTTTTTTCTATTTCAGTTGTTTGTTTTGACAATTTTGATCGTGGGTCATACAACAAACTTAAATAAGTGAAATAATTCACTTAAATCGACGTCGTCTTCCCAAACATTCTCACACGATCTCGTTATCTAGATCTAGTAAACATGCATGCATGCGAACGCCAAGTAATGGAAATTCTTAATCATGATTCCGTGCAAACAAACCGCGTCGAAAGGAGACGAACAACCATCACTTGGATGGGCCAAACCATATATTAAATAGGGCTTAAAATTGAATGCAGCTGGTGAGATGTAACATTATAGCAATGAAGTGTGTGTGTGTGTGTACGAGTTTTATTTACTCAGCACATGCAGCTCTCTGTTAGCCCTAAATCATTGAAAGATTTTGTTTCCTCTCTTGGCTCTTCCCTTGAGGTCCCAAGTGGAAGACATCAAGATATTTTGGAGCTTCCCCATTTTAATTGTCAAATGGTTCTAAGCCACACTTGCTAGGCCATCATGGCCTGGCCTAGCTCTTCTAACACATTCAAGAATATGGGGTATATATATATGTGGTGGGCTTTGGGTATTGGCTCTAAATTTGGATATCGAGTCGAAGCGTCCAAAGTAATGAAGTAACTACTCTCTTTGTTCACTACGAGATACCCAATGTAGCTGTTATGGATTATCATAGTTTTTTAGGCTTGTATTATTATAGAACCTTGAGTTCTTGAGGGAAAGGATTTTTTCTTTCGGGATTTCCTCAGGAGTTTAAAACACATTAGGGAAAGAGGTTTCTACACCTTTATAATGAATGTTTTGTTCTCCCTCCAATCAACGTGGGACCTCACAATTCATTTATAACAACCCAAGTACACGGCTACCAGATATTGTCTTTTTTTTACCTTTCCTCAAGGTTTTAAAACACAACTACTAGTGAGAAGTTTCCATACCCTTATAAGAAATGTTTAGTTCTACTCTCCACCGATGTAGGACCTCACAATAAGTATTATATTAATGTTGCAGATTTTTCTATAGAGAAGTTCGTACTTGCTAGGGTTTTCTCCCTGTAGTTGGTTAAGAATTCCTCACGGAATTTAAAACTAATAATTATCAAACGAGATCTAATTTTTTATATTTTTTTCAAATATAGATACGAACACTACAGAAACAAACATATTTTTATTCAAAAGCTAAAAACTAAAAACTAAATCATTATGATCCCTCTCCGATCATTTTTTCTTCACATATATTAGAAATCTCCTCACATGTTGGATTGCACAAAAAGAAAAACGACGAACAAAAGCCAAAAGCATAAGGACAACATTGGTAATCAAACAAACCCGAAACCGGGACCAAACCCTTTTACAAAAGGGCGATTAAGGACAAACAAATAAGTCCACAAAACGAAGCATAGTGAAAGAGTATGAGAGATACATATTGTGGTTAAAAAAAAAGGAGGTGGGAAATAGCAGAATGAGCTGTGTTTGATTTGAAATGAGAGAGAAATAAAGAGTAAATAAAGAAGAGCTATAAAGGAGTTTAGAATGAATTGATGATATATAGAGAAGCTGCAAGAGAAGAGTCATGTGAAGGCATTTAAAGTGGGGTTTGGGTGTTCTTTGTTTGTTTATGCACATGGATAAAGGGACCCTCTTCAGGTAGCCATGCATGTGACGCCATGTGACCCTTTCAAAAGAAAAGAAAAAAAAAAAAATCTCTCTCCTACTCGGAATTCTATCATGTGTGTTTAAGAGCTCGAATGTTTAGTTTCGGGTTATTTCTTTTTAACATTAACGTGTTTGGTTTAACAAGATGCGAGAGGGAGGGTCGGGGTATGTGGATTTGAACTTCTGTTCTTGAGAAAATGAGTACATGTCAATTATCGGTGAGTTATGCTTGATTTAATAAGAAACCTGAACGTTCAACAAGTAAATAATGAAATGGGGTCGGTTTTCTTTAGTACAACAAATTTAGGGTACGAGGATTTAAACCTCTGTTCTTAAGAAAAGAAGTACATGTCAATTATCGTTAAGTTATGATTGTTTTAAGAAGAAACTTAAACGATTAACAAGCAAATAACGAAATGGGGTCAGTTTTTTTAGTACAACAAATGTGGGGTACGAGAATTTAACCCTCTGCTCTTTAAAACAAAAGTACATGTCAATTATCGTTGAGTTATATTTACTTTAACAAGAAACGTATCAGGTTAAACGATACACAATTAGGGCATCACACAAACATTAAACTGGAACTGAAATACATGTCAATTATTGTTGAGTTACACTTACTTTAACAAGAAACATATCAGGTTAAACGATATATAGTTAGTGTATCATACGAACATTAAACTGAAACAGATAGATCAGAAAATTAGTCGTGTCGATGCAAAATCGAACGATGACCAAAAACCCTTTATTTTGGGATAAGATTTTTCACTTTTCCAACTATATCAACCACCACTCTTTCCCTTTTGTTTGAAATTTTCTCTCAACTCTCCTCTATGCTTCATTTCTTTCCTACATAAAAGGACACTTTCCCTTTGCTTTTCATCTTCAAAACCCACCAATTTCCTCTCTTCCAACACCCATTTCTTCATCAAATTCCAACCCATTTCAACCTAAATTCTTCAAAATCTTTGATATGGGAAGGCAAATTTTGAGAAAAAGAAAAAGGGTTCTTTCTCTTGAACCAGACAAACTTGCATACACCATGTTTGCAAGAAACTATGTCAAATATTTGATGACATCTTTACCCAAAATTTCTCATCATCATCAACAACATCAACAACAAAATTTTCAGAAGCTTGTGAAGTTTGAGGTTGACATGGCAATGGCTCAATCAGCAACGGAGTTTTCATGGGGCAATGCTCTTAAAAAGAAGCTTCTTCAAAGAGAAGATGACAATGGAAGTAATGGGTTTGGTTTCTCTCTCCCGGTGAAATTTTCTCGAGAAAATTTAGAGAGAGAAGACGAAGAACACGAAGAACACGAAGAACACGAAGAACGCGAAGAACGAAAGATAGAAAATGGGCTGATGAAGCTGAGAAAAATCGTACCAGGTGGTTCAAATGGAGAATTAGAAGAAGATGATTTGTTCAAACAAACTGAGAGTTATATAAAATGTCTTGAGTTGCAGGTCAATGTTCTTAGATGTTTGGTTGATACAAACACAAATTAATTTTCCTTTTTTTTTCCTCAATTTTTTCTTGTTAATTTCTATGTGGAAAAGAAAGAACATATATATATATATATATATGAATTTTCAGTTAATTTATTTTTGTTGAAAAATTTAATTTAATTTAATTTTGAATCTCAAAATCGAGTGAAAGAAAGCAGATGGAAATGGAAATAATTCTCGTACTACTGTTGCTATTCAGTTCTTTTGTTCGTATATACACAAACAGATAAAATTTCATTATCTACGTGGATCGTACATCTGTTTCGAAAAGTTTACTCGGCAATTCAATAAATTTCTTATCCGAGAAGTTTACTCGATAGTTGAAAAATTGACCTAGCATCAAGATTTTAACCTAATGTAATAAAAAATTTATGTCTTTTTCATATTTGAATTTTGTATTATAATCTTCAAACCCAAAGAAAAAATAGGATTTTTTTTTTTAAAATTTTGACTAAGATTTTTAAATATTAAAATAATATTAATAATAATAAAGGGGTGAGACTTTAATTAAATGTTTTAGAAATGTTCTATCATTAATTAAAATTCTTTTGTTGGATTTCGTTGACTTTTCAACCATGATTCTTGGAAGTTTGAGAAGAAAAGTCAACCCCTTTGAGAATTGTATAAAGAATTTGTGTGGTTGGATTCTGTTGTCCATTTCAAAGACTGACCAATCACACCAAAGTCAATCTAAACAAATAATATAATATTCAAAAGATTAGGGACATTTTCTTTTTCATAAATCAACACTTTTTATAAAAGAGCCAAATACTTCAATTTTAAATATTATAAAAATAAATTCAATTTCCAAACATATATATATATATATAGAGGTAGGAGTTCATAACTCGATTAAGATTGAGATAGCATCATCGTATATGATCATCCGATAAAATATTAATCTTCTCAATTAACGAATTTATAAAAAAAAATTAAATAATTCATGGTCTGGTTTTATACAAACTTAGTATATCATACTTCTACTCACATGTTTTCACATGAACGATAAATTCTCAAGTGGTTTGTATCAATATTGTTAATTGGATAAGACACTCATCTTTATCCATATACTATAAACTTTTAAGATTATTACTTGAACATGTTTAAAAAGCAATTTCGCGCAACTTTTATGAAGAACCTGGAGGAGAAACGGATTGGAAATCCGAGTTCTGAACGATCATCAATAATGGTAAGTTATGAGTTTTTACCAAAATTTGACACATTTATTTTCCTCCATAGCTAACGAAATTAAATGGTGTTGGAACCAAGTTGGATCGAGTTGGGTAAAAAAGTTGAAAATATAAAGAAAAAAACAATTTAGCGTAATCGCAATGAATTCGAGAAAAGATAAAAGGATTGTAGATTGAATATGCAACCTCGAGGAAAGGAAATGACACGTGTCAGGCACGGACAAAGGCACACGGTGGTTGAGGAAAAAATCAAAGAAATTCGTGAAAATAAAAACGAAGCATGTCACACATTAAGTGCAAGTACCCAACTAGAAGCGTGTGACATACTCACGTGTGGTGGGGCGTGACAAAGCGTGCGAGCCTCTTTTTCACCCGTTTCAACTCTTGCTTTACTAAATTTAATTGAACTTGAATTAGGATGAGATGTTATGATCTATGTTCCAGTTGATTAATAGAATGTTATCTCTCCGTTGAACTTGCATGAATATTTAGATAATGTTTCCGTGCTTTAGGTGATTGATAGGATTATCTCCAGGTGTACATTGCCTATCGGTCGAGATGGGGGAGCGTTCGGGAGTTGCACGATCACAAAAGGAGTTGCATCAAAATTCAGATCACAACACTGATCTACTCAAATTCTTAATTTTATTACCTAAAAATATAGAGCGTTACAAAAGATTTCCTTTAACAAATAAATTTATTATGCAATTTTGTATATATATAAAGGCCTCATTTTAATTAATAAAGGGTATGCAATGGAGAAAAATCAATCATTATAACAATAAATTGTAGAATCCAAATCAATTTTCTATTTTGGAATATGAATTAAAAAAAAAAAAATACATATCTTACTATTTATTTTACTAACTAAATATTCAAAATGAGAATCAATCTAAATTAAATGTGAAGATTATTAGGAAGATAGAAATAAAGAATAATAAGAAAATAAATTTGAGAATAAGAATAATGGTTAGTGAGATTTCATATTAGTTGGAGAGAGGAGCGAAACATTCCTTATAAGGGTATAGAAACATCTCCTTAGCAGACGCGTTTTAAAACTGTGAGTCTGATGGCGATACGTAACGGGCCAAAACGGACAATATCTGCTAGCGATAGGTTTTGGGTGTTACAAATGGTATCAGAGTCAGACACCAAATCGTGTGTCAATGAGAACACTAGGCCTCCAAGGGGGTGGATTGTGAGATTCCACATTGGTTGGAGATAAGCGTGTGAAAACCTCTCCCTAGCAGGCGTGTTTTAAAACCGTGAGGCTGATAGTGATATGTAACGGGTCAAAACGGATAATATCTGCTAGCGGTAGGTTGAGACTGTTACAAATGGTATCAGAGTTAGACACCAAGCCGTGTGCCAGTGAGTACACTAGGCCTCCAAGGGGGGTGGATTGTGAGATTCCAGTTGAAGATAAGAGTGTGAAAACCTTTCCCTATCAGTCGAGTTTTATAACTGTGAGGCTGACAGCGTAACGGGTCAAAGCGGACAATATCTACTAACGGCAGGTTTGACTACTACAGTGGTATCAGAATTAGACACCAAGTCATGTGCCAACGAGAACACTGGGTCTCCAAGAGAGGTGGATTTTGAGATCCCAAATCGGTTGGAGATAACGATGAGAAAAC